GACACGGTGCAGTCGTAGACGTCGTCGTCGGTTAGACGACACTCGCACGGAGCGGAGACGGAGCCACCGGCGGGAGTCTGCGCGCACGCAAGAAGTATGACGTAGACGAGCCGCATGACGCGAACAGACGTGACGCAACTCGCTGGCGTACCGTCACGGCAGGACGCGCCGACAAACTCCAGCGACGAGAAGCGATTGATCGGTTAGTCCGTGAGAGCGCTCACTTCATCGCATGACGTCACTGCATTGCAAATGGCGGCGCCGTGATGATCGCCGGCTCTCGTGCACTTCTTGCTTCGCCCTCACTCGCAGACGATGCCCATACACAGTCACCTTCTACTGAGTTCACAGCGGAATTGTTTTACGTACCGAGGTCGCGTTGCCAACGCCGCCCGTCTACGCTGTAATAAAAACGGGCATTGTAAATAATCGCTGACAAACACATCGCGATGATGTGGAGACGGTATCGTGTTACGTACACACGGGATCAAGCCGCTGATGCGTAGCCTGCGGTTATCGTTAGTGTGGGATTTTTTTCTGGCAACCCCCTTTTCCCATACGCAACGCGTACAGTTGTATCAAGAGTAGATAATAACATCTATGTTATCTAAATCTATCTATGTAACTAAATGTTATTATCTACTCTTGGTTGTATGTGTGCTCACATCCTGGTGTGCAGATAGAAGTGCTGAGACTGTTTCCTCCGGCTATGATTATAACGCACATGTGTCGTTATCTGAAACAAAAATCTGTGTTATCAATCCGGAAAGTTTATTCCCACCGTCTACGATCAGATAGTACACTACACATCGACAACAACCGAGTAACTTTACACCACTCACTAAAACTGCAAACAATGCAGCGGCGCACCAGTCAAGCGAGACGGTCCCACGCGATCTAGTGTGTATAATCTCACAACATGCGTTTTCTTGGAATTTTAACGCTTTTCCGGGTGCACTGTGCGCCAGTGGCGCTTGTAACTAGTTTAGTTAGCCGCGTTACAAAGAGGTTTGTTAGTAATGTTCGCATACAGTACTGAACGTACAAAATGTAAAACTGTGAACAAATGATCTTACGTGACCCAGAAATTCCCGTGTGCATTAGTGCTGGTAACTGAGCTAACGTAGAGCATCTATGTCGTGCACATATGCTGCAAGCACTCAAGTATAAGTCCGCTCTCACGTGTAAGTCAGCAATGTACATGCGGTGGCCGCGTGACCGGGAAAAATGATGACGTACGTGTAGATAGCGTAATATCAGGACGTGATACGTGTTGTCATGCTGGTAGGTATGCCTGCATACAAACATAACAAAAATAAAAATCGCGTGCGGAATCTTGCCGGTAAAAGTATCATAAGTCGAATAGCAGTACAAACAATCATAAACACGAGCAATGCGATGCACACAGTTTGCGTAAACGACACCACGCAGTCTAGTTGCTCGAACGCGTACGTTTTGCATAGAGCAACTATATGGACGTATTAATATTCCATGCCGTTGCGCTATAGGCAACAAAACACCCTTGGGCAAGTCTAGAAGGACAGGTTGCTCGCCGAAGCGGGATATAGTTTGTACCATTATAGGGTTCGCTGTTAGATTAGTCACCGTTCAAACAAGATATGATAAAAAGAAGAAGAAAAGCTTCTGGCCAATAACGTGCTAACAACACACTCGTCACTCTCGTCAAACTCGGTTTTTAGGATCTACTAGTTTCATAAAAACGCCACAACCTGTAATTGGCAGCACCCGTCGCTAGCACATTTTCCTAAGTAAACATGTATAGCTAACAAATTTATGGCATATGATGGTAGTATTTATTCCAAGAGCGACATCCAGAGAGACATGATACAAGATTGCGTGGCACAGCTTTGCTGTTGATCCTGAGNAGAGAGAGAGAGAGGAAGAGAATGAACACACATGCACTAGGACAGACATATGGGCTACTGATCAATAGAGAGCTGCAGTAGTGACAAGGGTCCGCCAGGACAAGCGAGCCTAATAGCTGTGCGGAGCAATGAAGGCACATATTAATGCCTAATGAGCAGCAGCATGCATAGGTCGCTCTCGCTGCTGCTTCTATTGCTGCTACTGCTTCTATTACTGCTGCTGCTGCTGCTGCTGCTGCTGCTGTTGCTGCTACTGCTGCTATTACTGCTGCTGCTGCTGCTGCTGCTCATGCATAGGTCGCTCCCGCCGCCGCTCTCGTTGCTGCTTCTGTTGCTGCTGCTACTATTACTGCTGCTGCTGCTGCTGCTGCTGCCGCCGCTGCTGCTGCTGCTACTGCTACTATTACTGCTCTACTGCTGCTGCTGCTGCTGCTGCTGCTCATGCATAGGTCGCTCCCGCCGCCGCTCTCGTTGCTGCTTCTGTTGCTGCTGCTGCTATTACTACTGCTGCTGCTGCTGCTGCTGCCGCCGCTGCTGCTGCTGCTACTGCTACTATTACTGCTCTACTGCTGCTGCT